GAACCTGCAGTTTCTAAAACTAAGTTCGTTTGTAGTTAAAATTAACAATACAGATTTCCACATTTCTAGTTTCACACGGATGCTTTGTTATGTCTAGAAGAGCAACCGTTTCCTTTTTATGGTACAAGCTCTGCTTCTTCAAAGCTCTTTTGACAAAGCAGACTCCACCTCCCCCCCCACAAAGAATCCAGCTGTGGCTGTTAATCTTGGCTGATAGTGGAGAAACTTCTCAATACTACAGATTCTTAACCTGTAAAACACAGTTAATAACAAAATACACTTTAGCATACTACTCTTTCTGATGCAACTTACTCCAGGATTTTCCCTAAACATACTCCAAAAGCATTCTCCATTTTTCTAAATTACAGTTTACTATGTGGAGTAAGAAGACCAGAGAAAACATAATACCTCTCATTTTCACAAGATGAGTAAGCTAGACAATCTCCACCATGCGCAAGGGTTTATACTGAATAATTTTTTTGTTAAATCAGTATATTTCTCCCACCTCACTGGGATCTTTAGCAATTCATACTTTTTCATCCAAACATAAGCAAAGTAAATTTCTACTAAAGCTGAACTTGGACAATAAGGATGTCTTTCATTTGTTACATTCCGAAAAGAAAAAATTAATTTCTCCCCTGAATATAAATCCCTAATACTTTCTAAGAGTTCAGATGATCTGACTAGAACAACTAAGTCCATACAAATGTGTATTATTTTTGTTTTGTTTTTAATTGACAGGACAGCACAGAGTATTTTTCCCTTGGCTTTAAATTCAACCTTTTTTTAATCTCCCTGGCATACAGTACAACTGAGGGGACACACTATGTTATTTAGAGTCATGCCTCCAAAAATAGTCTGCATGCTGATTTCACCTGATAAATCTGACAATATATGAAGACACTTCATTGCACGTTAACACAACAGCTTGATTTTTCTACCAACAATAACTACAATAAAAACAACTAACTTATTGATGCTTACTGTGTGCTAGACAGTGTGCTCCTTGGTTTACAAGAATTACCTCACTTAATCTTCACACCAATCCTGAGATAAGTACTACTATTATCCTCATTTTATAGATGAGGAACAGAGAGGTCAAATAATTTATCAAGATCACAGAGCTAGTAAGTAACTACCACTATAGTTTTGAAAGATAAAAGTAACCTGCTGAAGTTATTAGGATAATAAAATTCAAAGACCTCCAGCATTACTTGGAGTACAAAAAGGCAAAAGTGCAAGTGAATCCCAGGCTTTTTGATCTTTTAATTAATCAGGCAAGTCACAAACCAAAACGCTAATTTTACAAAATAGCTTTTCCCAGACTCACTTTTACCAAGATGGCCATATGTGTCATTAACTCCATCTCTGATATGTTAAGTGGCCAATGACAAAACTGCCTAGGTGTAGTGGCCCTCAAACCACTCTCATGTGGTTAACTTCCTCCAGCTTTCAACATTATATATACTTCATGAGCCCCTGAAACTCTTTGTCCCAAAGCATTTCCCTCTGGCAAATGTGAACTACGGACAAAAAGGAAGATTTATATTACACTCACCAAGTGATTGAAGTTACTATTTGTGGATTGTTTTGTTTTGTTTTTGCATTATGAAAATGTCCATGTGGGTGTTTGGAAGCTGTGAGTCTCATAAACACGGTCAAATTATATATGACATTTTGATAACCCATAAACAACATTCTATCAGTGGCAACAAATGTATCTCCGGCTATCCCACAATCACATTACCAGGTAAACTGGAACTCTTACTTTGAGATAAAATACAGCAGACAATTGTTAATGAAACCTTAATTGAACTGTCACAGCACCATCTTTACCAGGAAGCTAATGAGTAATTCACTATTTTGTAACTGTCCAATACTGATAAGTTACTCCACTAGTTAAATTCAGCAGAAATATAAATAAAGTCAGCTAGACTGAATTGTTCAGTGATAAATCTGGTAAAATGCTGCATCACTTCTACAAATACCTCTCCTTGTCTACATGGAAAAACAACAATCCCTCTCAAAATTGCATGCTGCTTTTGTAGCCATCAGTACTGCTGGGTGTACGTCCCCAAGGAAATGGGGGCAAATAGAGTTTCTTGTCATATGCTATGCCAGAAGAATACTTGCACAATGTATTAAATGAATATATGTTTGAATTAAATGAATCTTATAATATCCAGGTAGTTAGTTATGTGGTGGTTTGAATCAAATGATGTATCACTGGGAGAAAATCTTTACGTTTCATTTTAATCATTTTAGAAAAAAAGTTGTTTCCAATTCATAAGGCGCTTTCAAATTAAAAATAAAAATTATTTTTAATTAAAAAGTAAAAAAAATAAAATAAAATTCAGTAATACCTTTACCTTGGGTTTCAGAAGACTAGTGCAATTCCCTGTAGTTTGGTTTTCAAATCTCTAAACAGTCTTACTTAGGACATACAACAGTTAAATTTCAAATCTAATAAGCAATTCAGACAGGAAGTCACCGGCATGTAAATATAAAATAGGAAAGTATTTGCATATAAAACATACACCTGAAACTCTTTCCTTTTCCATACCAAATTGTATTTCACCAGTAATAGCTGATGAAAACACTCAATGCAGTTAACTAGAAAAACTTGGTTAAAAAAAAAAAACAACAAAGACCTAAATCATGTGAGGACGCAGAAAGAGGGTGGCCATCTACAAGCCAAGGAGAGAGGCCTCAAAAAAAACCAAACCTGCACCTTAATCTTAGATATCTAGCCTCCAGAACCATGATAGATAATTTTCTGTTGTTTAAGCCAAAACAAGGAAGGACCTGACTAGATCAATTAACTAAGCAGTATAGATGCTAAAGCACTGTGCTAGGTGCCAAGGAGAAAAGGATTACTACAATAGACAATCCTTACCCTCAAGGGGCTTACGAATGTACTCAGTGACACACAGCAAACTTGAAATAAGATGGTACACAAAGGAGTACTTTAAGTATATGAGACAAACTCCATAGGTTGTAGAGCAGTCAATCAGTTAAAGAACTTTAGAATGGATTCAAATCAAATACATTTGGGCTTTCAGATATCAGTGATTCATAGTACCCACTAGCAAAATGTTTGCTGTGTGAGATGTTTCAGTACTCCAGTTCTTTATTGCCCCTTCCTTAAAAATAATAAAGTTTAAAAATCTTCCCTTGCCACCAACTTGAAGTTAAAACTGCTACAAGTCACATCACTTTTTGATAGACATGTAAGGGAAAAATGCCTTTATAACATATTCAAGAATGCTGCAACCCATTTCCCTTTCAGTATCCCTAGTTTTTAACATTGCACGTAAGGCACTAAAAAAGCAAGCAAACATCCAGATCTAAGAAGATCCAAACAAGTGCTAGAAGTTATTAGTAAATCAATGACAAAATTTAAACCAAGGAACTACCGTTCTCCTGTTTGCTCCATCCACCAACCAAAGCTTGGAAATCCTCAAGAGTTAGGCAAGGATAGGAAGTTCACAGTTAAATCTGAGACAGTCTATGGAAGAGAAGAGAGGAGGGCAGGAACAGACAGGTCCCTGAGCAAAATGACAGAGAGGCACCATTACCAGCTATACTCTTTCCCACCTGGAATCCCACACACCTTGGAGAAAGGACCGTGCTGCAGCAGAAACTTCCTTGGAGACTAGCTGAGCAAACACCAGACACTACTAGTTTAAAAATGATGAGATCACTTAGTGGCCTAGATTATCAACTCTGAAATATAAATACGATGGCCAGTTAAAATGCATAAACGATGTGCCTATCATTTTTAGCCTCAAAAACACTGACTGACCAAAGGGGATATTTACCAGGCCAGTTCCAAAGAGTTCATTTGCCTGTGGTGATGGGGGCTTTTCTAGATAGTAACAAGAATCAATTTTTGAATGCACTGAAAATATCAATTCATCTATCCAAAGTGGAATCATTAGTCCTTGGGAGAAAACAGTTCATTCTAGTTTTGATAGGAACAAACATATTTTATTATAAACTACGAATCCTTTTAAGGTTAGACCAAATAGATCAAAATGTTTTAAGAAGCCCTTAGACTTTTACAAATATCCTAGCACTGGCAAAAGTAGTGTCATTTGTTTAAAAAGTATATTTCCTACTATAGCAACTGACCAACAGATAACAGCAACTTAAGAGGCACTTAATGACACTAAAACATTACACAGAATGTGGGCCACTGCATAGCTAGTCTACTAACCTCATTTGTGGTACTCATGTGTGATGCTATATTTAATGCATTCTTATCAAAAGGCTAAAGCTACATACTTCCCAGCCGTAGCTTTATGGTTTAAAATAAAACCACTCAAGCAATGATCTTAACTGGTTCAACTATGAATCCTGCCTTTCTTCTGGCGATCAAGATCACAAAATAAGGAGTGAAAAGACAGAAAGGATACGAAAGTAGTGGCCAGGTGCGGTGGCTCACGCCTGTATTCCAAGCACTTTGAAGGCCAAGCGGGCGGATCACCTGAGGTCGGGGGTTCAAGACCAGACTGACCAACATGGTGAAACCCCGTCTTAAAAAAAAGAAAGAAAGTAGTTACACAAAGTATATCCTAATGACAAGAGTATTATAAGGGAATTGAGTCTGGATCAGTTGCTAACGCTTAATCCCATTGGGCAACTGATCCAAACTAAATCAAACACATGAGATGACCAAGACCTTCGTAGGAATTAGTATTCCATACATTCATCTACTGATCCTGTGTTCAGTGGCATGCTTAGGTTCTAACAGAAAAGTCTGGTAGACAACAAACTTATGTGTGTTGCTCATGAGAAGGTGCTCCACCAAAACTTGCCCTGAGCCTAGACAACCGATGCATGAGGCCTCTTTACCACATAGAGGGTGGCTTCCTACAGTTGGGTTGAGAAGCTTGCTCCACCTTGGTCAACATGGAGATAACCATAAGGGACGGAATCGCCCAATCACAACCATCAGAAGAAACCACGAGAGGTTGTGTTCTTCTTTTGATACTCACCAGACAACACCAAAGGCTCCGTATCCAATAGGTCTATCCGGTTCAATATCCAGCTGCTGTTGTGGATGATGCGAGTGCTGATGATGGTGCGCCTTAACTGTGGCAGCTGCGGCAGCCTGTACCTGAGCTGGGGCTGCTGCAGCTGGTCCAGGAGCCTGCCCCGGTGCCGGTGATGGGAAATATGGCTGTTGTTGCCCAGGGTTTAACATGGCTGCAGCTGCAGCCGCTGCTGCGGCTGCCGCAGCTGCCGAAGAGGTGTGCTGCTGTACAGGGTGTACAGCGGCAGCTGACCCCGGATGAAGATGGTGTTGAGGGTGGTGGTGGTGGTGCAGGTGAGGAGGTGGGAGGTGTGGAAGGTGGTGGTGATGGTGGTGGTGGTGACCTGCTGCTGCTGCAGATGTACCGCCATTGTAAGCCGCCATCATTTTTGCGTTGGCTCTTGCGCCACAAAGAGACATTCAAAATAAATGCCCTTTGATTGGAAAGCAAACTGGGTCAAGCTGTCATTTGGCCATTTAAAAATGAAGAAAAACCACTCACTCCACCTCAAAAAACATACAGCGTAACTGGCTTTATGTCTTCATCAGTCAATCCAAACAAGTTAAGAGGATCTTGGTGTTTTAATTTTGGGGTGAGCGTGTGTGGAAGGGTGTGGATTGCCAAAAGGAAAAAAAAAAAGGAAAAAAAGAAAAAAGAAAAAGGAAAAAAGGACCCCTTCCCCCCAGGATTCCTGCCACAAGTGGGTACTAAAACTCCATTCTTAATTCGGGGGAGGTTCCAACTTTGAATGTGGGAATAAAGGCCAAACCTCCCGACCCCCTGAACTCCACACACGAAAAGGATCTGGTAACACACCACCCTTGGAATCTTGAAAGAAGGTTGACTCATCTACCCCTTCCATTCCCACATCCTTTTCTAAACACCTACCACCTCCTCAAAAACACGATTAAAAAAAATTCCCACCACCCTAAACGGAGAAGACAGGGGAAATTATCTGGGAAACCAGCTTCCAGCTTCCCCCCCCTCGAACTCTCAGGCCTTCCTACATCTCCCCCTACTCCTAGTCAGGTTGACCTGATTGGGGAGGGGGGGCGGGGGTTCTAAACTTTCCTGGGCAGAATAAGCCAGGGAAGGAGGCTGGAGTGAGGAGAGGAGGCGACAGCAGGACAGAGAGGAGAAAGAGAGCCGGGGCAAAAGTGAAGGGAAGGAGGTGCAGGGAGGAATGAAAGAGGTGGGCAGCGCTCGGACGCCCAGACAGAGGGAACCGCCCCGGGAGAAGGCTAGGGTCCCGGGGCCAAAGAATAGGAGCCCCGGGAGGCGGGCGGGGTACGGTCGGAAGCGGGCTGACTCCTGCCCCCGCCGCCGGCTGCTTCTGCTGAGGGTTGGGGGGGAGAGCGGGTGGGTCCCCCGCGCGACGGCCCCGCAGGGCTCAAGGCTGCTCCGTCTCCCCCCCTCCCCCCCACCCAGCTTCCGTCCCCGCGGCTGCTTTCTCCTCAGCCGCCGCGGCCGCTTTCTCCTCAGCCGCCGCCTCCACAGCCGCCGGTGCCGCCGCGGCCGGACTCACCTCCCCTAGCAAAGCCGGATAGAGCGGAGCCAGCGGCGGACACGCGCAACCAGCCGCCGAGGCCCCGCCCCCGCCTCGCACTGACCGGCTGCCCTAGCCAATCCACGCCCACCTGTCCGCGACTGCCTCCAATCCTGGACCACTAGCTTCAGACAGGCGCACTGTTCGGCCAGTGGCAACAAGGTGTGGGTCTTCTGGGGAAATCCCGCCCCCGATGCGGGATGGGCAGATAGAAAAACCAATCAAAGAGAGAATTTGGCTTGACCGACAAAGCTTAAAGCCAATTCAAAACCAAAGATCTTTGTGACATTTTCTCTCGCCTCTCTTTTCTTTTTCTTCTTTTATTTATTTATTTATTTTTTTTGGCAGGAGCAGGAAGCTGCGTGCTAATCCCGCCTGCAAAAGCTGGAAGAGAGGGGCAGAATGAAAGAACCAATCATGAGCCGGAGACAAAGAACAGCGCAACCAATCCTTGGGTTGAAAATGAAGTGGGCTGGAATCTGGGCCAGATAGACACTTGATTTGACAAATGGAAAAAAAAGATTGCTATAAGTCCCGCCCTGTAGATCTCCTATAGAACAGGATTGTAGAGAATTTGCTGTCATAGCGAGACAACCTCTTCAAGGGACAGGGCTTGGGGAAGGGGTGGGGTCTTGAAGTGGGCGGGACCTAGATGAAGAAGGCGGAGTCCAAATCGTCACTGGTCCATTGATCTGAGCTGTCTAATATCCCATTTAAGATGTAAAGTGTGGCGGAAGAAATAGGGGAAGAAAAAGGAAATGTCGGAGGCCGGGCGCGGTGGCTCACGCCTGTAATCCCAGCACTTTGGGAAGCCGAGGCGGGTGGATCACGAGGTCAAGAGATCGAGACCATCCTGGCCAATATGGTGAAACCCCGTTTCTACTAAAAATACAAAAATTATCCGGGCGTTTGGCACACACCTGTAGTCCCAGCTACTCGGGAGGCTGAGGCGGAAGAGTCGCTCGAACCCGGGAGGAGGAGGTTGCAGTGAGCCGAGATTGCGCCACTGCACTCCAGCCGGGCGACAGAGCAAGACTCCATCTCAAAAAAAAGTAAAAGAAAGAAAAAGGGAATGTTGAGCTTCGGAAACTCAAGGTGCAAGGTCATGAAACAAGAAGATAGTCACAAAAGAAACTCAGTAGACTGACAGTTCGCAGTTTACAGCCACCTCCATGGTTAACCCTGATGTTGACAAAAAGTGGAGGAATCTCCAGCATTCAGAAATCCATTGTCAACAGATGATAAAGCTGTTAGTGCAAATTTTTAAAAGTAAACTTGACCACAAAAATGACAATTTTCTTCCATC